CACTACATCATAGTCCCTTCATAACAACACTATATCATAGCCCCTTCATAACAACACTAAACATGTGTTCCTTCATAACAACACTACTCCATAGACCTTTCATAACAATACTACATCATAGCCCCTTCATAACAACACTACTCCATAGCCCCTTCATAACAACACTATATCATAGCCCCTTCATAACAACACTACTCCATAGCCCCTTCATAACAACACTACTCCATAGCCCCTTCATAACAACACTATATCATAGCCCCTTCATAACAACACTACTCCATAGCCCCTTCATAACAACACTACTCCATAGCCCCTTCATAACGACACTACATCATAGCCCCTACATAACAACACTACATCATAGTACCTTCATAGCAACACTAAACATGTGCCCCTTCATAACAACATTACTCCATAGCCCCTTCATAACAACAATAAACACTTGTCCATTCATAACAACACTACATCATAGTCCCTTCATAACAACACTACTCCAGAGTCCCTTCATAACAACACTAAACATGTGCCCCTTCATAACAACACTACTCCAAAGCCCCTTCATAACAACACTAAACATGTGCCCCTTCATAACAACACTACTCCATAGCCCCTTCATAACAACACTAAACACTTGTCCATTCATAACAACACTACATCATAGTCCCTTCATAACAACACTACTCCAGAGTCCCTTCATAACAACACTAAACATGTGCCCCTTCATAACAACACTAAACACTTGTCCATTCATAACAACACTACATCATAGTCCCTTCATAACAACACTACATCATAGTCCCTTCATAACAACACTACATCTTAGCCCTTTCATATCAACACTACATCATAGTCCCTCCATAACAACACTAAACACTTGTCCATTCATAACAACACTACATCATAGTCCCTCCATAACAACACTAAACACTTGTCCATTCATAACAACACTACATCATAGTCCCTTCATAACAACACTACATCATAGCCCCTTCATAACAACACTACATCATAGTCCCTTCATAACAACACTAAACATGTGTTCCTTCATAACAACATTAAACATGTGACCCTTCCAAACAACACTAAACATGTGTCCCTTCATAACAAAACTAAACATGTGTCCCTTCATAACAACACTAAACACATGTCCATTCATAACAACACTACATCAGAGTCCCTTCATAACAACACTAAACACGTGTCCCTTCAGAACAATACTAAACATGTGTCCCTTCATAATAACACTACATCATAGTCCTTTCATAACAATACTAATTATAGCCCCTTCATAACAACACTACTCCATAGTCCCTTCATAACAACACTACATCATAGTCCCTTCATAACGACACTACATCTTAGCCCTTTCATATCAACACTACATCATAGTCCCTTCATAACAAGACTAAACACTTGTCCATTCATAACAACACTACATCATAGTCCCTTCATAACAACACTAAACATGTGTTCCTTCATAATGACACTACATCTTAGCCCTTTCATATCAACACTACATCATAGTCCCTTCATAACAAGACTAAACACTTGTCCATTCATAACAACACTACATCATAGTCCCTTCATAACAAGACTAAACACTTGTCCATTCATAACAACACTACATCATAGTCCCTTCATAACAGCACTACATCATAGCCCAGTTATAACAACACTACATCATAGCCCCTTCATAACAACACTACATCATAGCCCAATTGTAACAACACTACATCATAGCCCCTTCATAACAACACTACATCATAGCCCAATTGTAACAACACTACATCATAGCCCCTACATAACAACACTACATCATAGCCCCTTTATAACAACACTACATCATAGCCCCTTCATAGCAACACTACATCATAGCCCCTTCATAACAACACTGAACATGTGTCCCTTCAAAACAACACTAAATCATAGCCCAGTTATAACAACACTACATCATAGCCCCTTCATAACAACACTACATCATAGCCCAATTGTAACAACACTACATCATAGCTCCTTCATAACAACACTACATCATAGCCCCTTCATAACAACACTACATCATAGCCCCTTCATAACAACACTAAATCATAGCCCCTTCATAACAACACTACATCATAGCCCCTTCATAACAACACTAAATCATAGCCCCTTCATAACAACACTACATCATAGCCCCTTCATAACAACACTACATCATAGCCCCTTCATAACAACACTAAATCATAGCCCCTTCATAACAACACTGAACATGTGTCCCTTCAAAACAACACTACATCATAGCCCCTTCATAACAACACTACATCATAGCCCCTTCATAACAACCCTACATGTGTCCCTTCATAGCAACACCATATCATTGCCCCTACATAACAAAACTACATCATAGCCCCTACATAACAACACTACATCATAGCCCCTTCATAACAACACTAAATCATAGCCCCTTCCTAACAACACTACATCATAGCCCCTTCATAACAACACTACATCATAGTACCTTCATAACAACACTAAATCATAGCCCCTTCCTAACAACACTACATCATAGCCCCTTCATAACAACACTACATCAGAGCCCCTTCATAACAACACTACATCATAGCCCCTTTATAACAACACTACATCATAGCCCCTTCCTAACAACACTACATCATAGCCCCTACATAACAACACTACATCATAGCCCTTTCGTTACAACAGTAAATAATAACCGTTCTACCGGGCTTTCTTAATAAATAAACTAGAACTAATTTAGTTAACATTGCTATAGTGGTTACAACTAAGGCTCCAAATTTGATTTTCTTAGGAGTTGAAATTCGGAAATAGGAGCGCTCCAGCGAGGTATAAAGTACAGGTGTACCAGGACTGTCCCGTGACATTGCGTTCCATTTATATACACGCATACACTAAACTTGACCTAGACAATTCCAGTTGGTTGCTCTGACCCAGATACCGATTTTAGCAAACGCGCATTGAGCCGTCGAGTGCCGTCGCCTAGAGGTCAGCTCGTATGTAGTGCGTCTGACAGTATATCACATCACGTTTTCTATGCTCACGTTTATCGCTGCGACACGTGAGGAAGCGGTGAGCTAGAGCTACCGTAGCTTACACACGTTTCTGGATTGTCACGTTTCAACAGTGTCGAACTTATGCAAAGTATATTATCGTATTTTGTTTTTCTCGACTGCACACACTCCTAATTGAAAAATATATACAAATGTATTTGTAGAATGGCCTGCTTAGACTGTATAGTCACAAAAACACCTCTTTTACACTGTCATTCTAAACCACTGCTGGAAATGTAGGACACGGTTCTCCCTAGCAAACGAAGACACACTATGTGAATCATACGATCATTTAGAGAATGTCACAATCAATACACTAATTGCTTTTTCGTCGATCTAGTTAATCCAGACATTTTTATGTCTGAGCGTATCCCCTAGTTTTGTGACAGTTAATAACTAACTTTCCACCCAAAAATATCAAATATGCATTACATAATAGCTAACAGATGAAAAACCCCGTTTTCGGACACATAGACAGTCGACGTAAAACCCGTTAAATAAATAGATAAGTAATGAAATAAGAGACCTGGATACCTACGTCATCCTTGATATAAGTGGCGAGATGTGTGTGTGTGTGAAGGAAGTTCTTCACATAGATATAATTAAGAAACACACGTAAATGAAACGCGTCATGTTAAAATTTCGTTTACACAATTTAAAAAAAAAAATGAAAAATTATTCCTTAAGGTTACATTTTGAAGGTATTATTTTTTTCTTTTTCTTTATTTACCGGCTCCCTAAAACAATTATCGTCGTTAATTAGACGTTATAGCCAGTGAGGGCTCATCCTTACAGCTGATTCAATAGCGAAGCAGCAGATTCCAGTTTTATGGGAAAGTTTGTCAACAACAGAAGGTGAACAGAAAATAGTTCCACTATTTCGTAATCTTTTCATTGTATTTTTGTGAGATATCTTACATATTTATATTTCCATTCACATATTGGTTTCAGATTTCTATTGAAATAAATTTACAGTTAAAAAATAAACAAACAAACACAATAGAGGATTGACACTATTTTGAGTGTATAGCGGTCCCACTTGCTACGCCAGGCTTAAGGATACTCATCGGAAATGTAAATGTTGAAATTTAAACATTTCAAAACCAATTCACTTCAGGAAGACGTCTCTACATTTCGTCATAACTGAACATAAAAATGACTGTAGCCTAACAGCTGACTGAACTCGATAGAAAAAAATACGCCATACAACTTTTTTTCAATATCAAAACGTGAAAAGATACTGATCTTGAGATTGTAGCATCTTGGGATGAAGAGCTTTCAAGTATGTTCAAATGAATAATCTTGACCCACTTTCAGAGTCACAGGGGTCAATTATGTAGGTGCTGGGACTGTGGTATATGCTGGGGTGAAGAGCTAAGTTCCCACAATAATACCTCTAACTAGATTTGGTCAAAATAAAAGGACTTTAAAAAATTCCTCTATATTTCATACATTGGACTTAACCTATCTGTCCTCATGGGGATTGGACTCGCTGTTTATTTAAAATTGAGTCCCCTCCACCCAAGAATTTCTCTGACCAAATTTGTACAAACACCTGTCACTTTTCTTGCACGTCTTCTCTGCAGGCCCTATGGACTATTATAGACCCTGCGTTAATATGCCCGATCACTGATGCTCCATGTGCTTACAGATAAAAGACACATAGCAAAGATGAAACAAACACGGAAATCTTAAAATCAGGCCATACTATATAATAAAACAGTTATAGATTTTCGGCCAAGAGGATATGACCTTTCGAAAGTCGACAAATCCTCGTATTAAAAACAATTGTTTATTTGTCACCAGTGAATCATATTTCTTTATAAAAATATCCCCAATATAATATATTAATAAGTGATGTGTGAGTCGAAAGTTTGTGAAAGGTCAAATTCCCGAGGTTAAAGATTTATATATATATATATATTATCACTTCAGGACAGTCAAGGCTTCACCACAGACGGAGAAAACATGGATCAAATGGAACAAAAGTCCAGTCTGTTTCAAAACTTGAAATTGAAGAAACACAGACTTAATCGTTACATGTGCAGTGGAGATAGTGTCATGGGATCGGATGGAGTCTTGTCCAGTGTAGAATCGTCAGAGTTTGACCTGACGAGTCAGCACTCTTCAAGTGGCGAGAGTGACAGTGGTTACGGTAGTACCAGAGATCATCGGAGGAAAAGGGTGAAAAGTCAGTACACCCACAAAAGTGACACTAAAACCACTACGTCTGGGAAGGAAGTAAGGAAGGAATGTGACTCAAAGACGAAACAGTTACCGCGGTTAGGTCTAGCATATTATGGTTTGCCGTCAGATGCGATGAACGGACAGAATATGTCCGAAACCGTCAATGGCCAAAGGCACGCAAGCATTGGGTTTATTCCAATATTGACTCAAGTGATGCCTCAATATGCAAATAACGTTACGAGTACCACGACTAAGGAACCACAGGGTGGAAATGAGCAACCAGCAGCAGATGCTGACGAAGTCAAACCTGTAATTCTAACCCAGTTCCCGCCAGCATTCATAATGACATCCAAAGGTCCTGTACCCGTCATCAGCTCCTGTAACCCCGCAGGACTTCCCCAGATCCCGTTGTTGAATATGAACCATTTAAACCCGAAGAAAATGGAGCAGTTAGTTCAAATGATCACACCTGATCAGTTGGCTGGGATGCAAGTATCCCAGGATCAGTGTGCAAATCAGGATCAAACGAACGCTTCAGATGTCCTAGAAGTACAACCGAAAGGTGGCGCTCAGGATTACAGTTTCATTGAACATTATACAAACGGAAAATTTGTATACAAAGGTATTCTGAAAAAGGGGGATGGCCAAACGTCGGCGAATGACCCTGTTCCTATGGCAACGGTGCCACAGGCATGCGCTGATGAAGAAGACGAGGAACAGCTCGTGTGTGCCATCTGTAACGATAGAGCGACCGGTCTTCACTATGGCATCATAACATGTGAAGGGTAAATGGATGTTTAATCTGATGTAAACCTTTTACTGGCTGCCATTTTCTTCTTTTTATTTTGTGACTTGTTCGTCCATGTATGTCCCTTAAGGACATAGGCATGCTTGATTCATACCCTCTACTTCTGTATGACTGTAATGAAACACCATGTAGATGTTTTACACATTTTATCACTGAAGTTTGTCTCAGACTTCTGAGATTAAAACACAAGTCAAAGTAATCTGGTCTTATCTCTGTTCAAACTTCCATTACCGCTGATCTCTCTTTTCAGCCCACACGTAAGCAAAAATGTGAAGTCTAAATGTTTTACGCCTTGAATTAAACGTTTTAAGCCACAATCATCGATATTAAAGTTAGCGTATTGACAGAAGGAATCTAAGATACATGTCTGATTCCACTTTTATTCTACTGATACAGGTGTAAAGGATTTTTCAAGCGAACGGTTCAGAACAAAAGAGTGTACGTCTGTGTCGGCAATGGAAACTGTGAAATCAACAAGCTACAGCGAAATAGATGTCAGTTCTGTCGCTTTCAGAAGTGCCTTCGCATGGGAATGGTCCTAGCAGGTAGCTATTTAATGCTGTTGTTTAAACAAATCCCATCAAGTAATATAGGAAAAGTTAGAAAGTCATTCGAAAACTTTCTACAAATGTTCATGTGTAAAGAAGTTTCGAATGATGAGGTTCACAGAATTTAGACCGAACCATCCCGCCAGACTTGTGTTTTGTCTTGTTACGTTGGCAACCATGCTAACAATAAGACACTTTATCGACTTAAAACAGCTACTGATGTATTTGATATTTAGTTTGTGCTTTATTTAACCGCTTTGTCTGGGTTTAATTTTATTATCGACAGTGTCTTGACAGATTGGAGGAAATCTTTGTAGGATTTTCCGTCTATTTGTTCTTCCCTAGGTGCCAGTAATTGACGTGTCTTTTTATAAGTTTAAGAGAAGAAGGAAGTCAGTTTTATGCAGTGTTTTATATAATTTGTCTTTTCAAGATAGGCCTCTTTGATAGAGGGTTTTTTTTTTTTACAATTGTTGGAAAATGTCTATGTACAGTTAACTCACAACTCTAAGTCTTAAAGCATGCGCTCACAGTTAAAGACTTGTGTAATTTTATCTTCATAATAATTTATACGGACCAAATTCAGGACTTACTGTTGTCTTAACTTGTTGCAGCTGTACGAGAGGACAGAATGCCCGGCGGACGAAATTCAGGGGCTGTGTACAATCTCTACAAGGTATGTAACTACCGGGGATATATCGTGTACTGACATAAAGGGTTCATTGTTGAGTCATATCGGTCCAGTTCGCGCATTACAGATTGTTGATTATAAGCAATCTTTTCTAACCAGGTTAAGAGTTTGATAATACTTTATCTAGTGTGATCCCGTTGACATTTCATCCTGGTTTTATTTTCGCTGAAGACAGAATGATGTTGACTTTGCGGTAGTCCGACTTGTACAAAGTGTACGGTTTGTTTCAGGTAAAATACAAGAAACACAAGAAGAAAGACCAGATGGTGAAACTTTTTAAAGAGCAAGTGGCCAAGATTAAGGTGGATGGTAGTGATGGTAAGATCGAAACAGAGATGATAACAGAGCGGAAAAGAATCTCCGTGCCAATCCGAGTCTCATTCAATAAGCAAGGCATGCCGGAGTTTGTTCAGAAAGAACACGAATCACATGTTAGGCCAGGTGCCTCGTTCTCGCGCAGTTCAAAGTCACAGAACATATTTTTGGAATCATATACCGATAGAACATGTCTACCTCAAGAAAGGGCCATGTCACAGATGACATCACCTATATGTGCATCTCAAACTTCGGATGCAATGTGTAGCTTAAATGGACAAACGCCTTTTACCAGTAGGTATAACGGAAGTGCTCAGAGCGACGTCTCAACTGAGCCGTCAGATGGTAGCCAAGTATCGGCCAATGAAAAACATCGCTTCAATGATCGGGTCGGTGACTGGGACGATCGAGATCGGACTAATGGCCATCCTTTCACGACCAACTCTAAAGAAAATTCCCACCTGCTTAACTTACTAGAATCTAGACTTCCTTTAAAGAAGGAAAGTGTTCCACGAGTAGAATGCTGTACAATGTCATGTGATTCATCGAATAAATTGCTTAACAACATTGTTCAAGATAGGTCGGAACTTCAGTATAACAGAGAGACGGAGCCAGTTTTGTCATATTCTCAGTCTACATGCACGAGGAAGTGCATGAACTCAAATGTCAATAGAACACAAACGGATTATGTTCAGAGAATTAATAACCTTCATCGTTTGATGAAAGCCGAGACTATGTGTGAAAAGAAAAGCAGCAACTATTCCGTATCATCAGATGATAGTGTATTGGCAGACGGAACAGACGAGAAACTGTTGAAGGAGAGCACTGAACAGAGAAGTTGGAATGAAGGCGTTATAACTTACAGATGTGGTGAAAATGATCACAAACGTCGTATTATACAGTCATGTCATCCCCAACAAGGACTTTCATCAGAAAACAATACACAGAGTCCGTGCTACACAAAAGCACACGCGAGAAAACATTATGGCTATGGCACGAGTCAGTTAGCTACTGAATCTGTGTTGCGGAAATCTGCAAACGTTCGAACGAATGTGTACTCGTCGGAACGAACATCATCTGAAACTCCCGCTCGGGACTCAGCACAGTGTCTACGTGTACATTACGCTACAAATGATAAGGTAACAGGTGATCAGCGCTCATTAACCTCTGTTACAGAGCAAACTCGCCATCTGGAGCGTAGCTCGCATGAAAGGGTTATGCGGCCATTGAATCTGCTAAGCCAAGAAGAACAACGTCAATTAATTGACAAAAATGATATCTTACCAGAAAATTCAATGCGTGGTAACTACAGAGAAATACCGTATTCACTGGAGTCAGTTGCTGAAAGGTTTGCACAGAATGCACCCCAACAGGAAGCAGGTCCGCGTCGCTACCTTCATACAAGCTGCTCACCTGAAACACGGAAAGCAAAAGACTGTCATGAAAGACAGGGTAATCTAACTCAGACTTATGGATTAGATCAGTGTAATATGCAACCAAGCACGAGGATCATTGGCCAAGATCAGCCCAACCAAGGAACACAGGGCACCAGACAGAACGTATGTAATTCAAAAGCGAATACTGCGTTACAACCTGTCAACGTGACGGGTTTTAGTAGTAAGGGAAGTTTACCGAAGATGGATAGCCGTCATACTGCGTCTAACGACAGCTTGAAAGCTTGGCCGCCTAGAGCCGAACAACACGATGAAAGTCAAGCGTACCGTCACGATTCTAGGTGGAGTACTGACAGACAAACACCTTTAAATTATCTGGTAGAACAACAGCTCAATCAAACTGGGGAAAACGCTAATACCAATAGGGACCAAAGCCGGAAACTGGTATTCAATCCCTCTGACTCATATAAAATAGCAGAGAACGAACATTCTTGCACAAGTAACGGTCATCTCAAAAGTGGGTCGTGTCAACGAACCCAAGAAACGGGGCCTGTAAAGGAAAGTTGTCCGACCGATTGTGATGACGTCACATGTCATTGGTTTGAGAATAACCTACAGGAGGATCGTTTGGGGTTTCATAAAACCACATCAGACAAATCATTCAGTAAACCAGATTTATGTGAACCTGAAAAGCAGCTAGGTGTACCTTCACCAGAACGTTTTACTCCAGAATTCTATCTTCAGCTTATTCAGGAGCTGGTGAATTGTAATGCATTACTGGACATATCGAGCTCATACCATTTTGACCAATCTAATTGGTTACAATCAGATATGAATTTTTGCCGTCTTGCAGATGAGATTGTAGGGAAACTAGTGGCTTGGACAAGACATTTACCTTTCTACACCGAAATCCCTCTCAACGTTCACTCCCGAATACTCACGAATCGGTGGCACGAGTTGTTGGTGTTGATCACAACAGCTCACCAAGCACTCACGCTCCAAGCACACAAGCGTCCGACGGAGACGACCTATACAAGCCTGCTGAATTCCAACATGCAAAAGTTGGAAGCTTACCTGTCACGATTATACAGGGAACCTGTATGTCTGGACAAAGTGAAAGTAGAGGAAGTCATGGAAAGGCTGACCATCATCATGTTCAGGTTTCTACAGATGCAAATCAGAATTGAAGAATTTGTATCGCTCCAAATAATCCTTCTGCTCAACCACAGTAAGTCAGCGTGAAACTTTTGATTACTGGTCGTGGATAATTCAAATTTCGTCCACAGTTTGAAAAATTAATTAATTTGCTGTTAATTTTTTGCTATTCAAATATCAAAGTCATTTACCATCAAGTACACCCAGAAACGTTAAATCCATAGTAACACTTTTCCCAGTTTCACCGAAGTATTTTTGTTCCAATTATTTCCTTTTTTCAGTTTTATTATTTAATTCAAAATTTAGAAATAAAATTAAAAGTTTCAAAAATCAAAGTCATATAATCTAAATATTGAACAATGTTTTTACCATGTTTACTTTTTGAACTTTCTAATTGGATTTTCAGGTCACCTGAGATTTATGGTGACCTTATTGCAATACTATTTATTTCATTTTTTTAACTTAAGTATTTATATGAAAGTATCTTAAGGTGCTTTTCCAATATTGTGAACTTTTCTTACCCCGCGGTTTCACATTTCCCAAAGGGGAGGAGGTAAATTTTACTATAATTTATATAGGAAAATGAGGGTTCTGTAGATAATTTGTGTATTTTCTATTGGAAATAGATCAAATTTGGTTAAATTGTTAGTATGGGTGACAGTTCAATGTTCATTGGGCGTGCCAAAAAATTGGTCCTATTGACTGAATTTTTTAAAATGTCTTCTTCTCAATACTCAAATGTAGTAGATTCAAATACAGTACGTTGATGGAAGGTTCTTTGAGTGTTTTTCTCTGGCTGATGGAGTTTCTTTGTGCTCTCTTTACCTCTTCCTTTCTCCTATCTTACCAAATTATGTTATCTCCTTACGGTTTACATATTAACGGTCAGTGTTCATCAGTGAATGTTAAGTATAAAAAAAAATCCCTTTCAATGTGTTTAATGTAAATTGTACTATCGGAGATGGCTTAATTTAAGATTTATAATCTTGTTGCCAGATCCATTTTCAATTTTATAATTTGTGTATGTGTATGTTGTAAATGTATATCTGAAAATAAAATATTGTTTAAACCAAAGACCCCAGAGGCTGATGGATGGGTGTGGCCATTTCTCTGGCTGACCCCAGAGGCTGATGGACGTGGCCAAAAAGGATCAAATAGAATGAAATATCAAAACTCTTCTCAATACCCAGGTCAGATAGTTGTCATAGATGGATGGGTCTGAAATTAAAACTAATGTCCCTTTTTTTTCTCTATGCTACACATTCATTCCAATTGTTTTGGAATGGGAATCTTTAAAACAAAAGCTAAACATTGATTACTTATTTTTAGTCTCTATCAAAAAAACTCATAACAGAAATGTATTCCTTTTTCAGATGATTCGGAGCATAATGCGAAAATCGAGAGCATACAGGATAGATATACGAAGGCGTTGGAGTGGTACGTCAAGACAACCTATCCTCACGACCCGACCAGACTTGGAGAACTCCTGGTCAGACTGCCGGAGATACAGAGCACCTCAAGTCTTCTTCTGAAGAGCAAAATGATCTACATTCCATTTTTCCTTAATGCATGAGTACTAAATATTTGTGGATCTGAACAGAATCGTTGTTTGTGACCTGACTTTTGTTGACTAATTACATTGTTTGACCCGATGTTACAGAACTTGTCATTCTAAGCGGAACTAAGCTTAGGAAACCAGATCCTTGGATGTCCGTACACAGATTGATCCATAGTAAAATTGTTGTAGTGCTTACAAATACAAAGTCCATTATGTACATAAATGTATAACAACACATCGTTATTATAGATCATCATGTAATTATTAAATTCATATCATAATTAAATTAATATATAGGTTAGAGAGACACGATTGTTTGCGACTAATGGAACGGAGGGTACACATGTTTGTTTTAGACTAATGGAACGGAGGGTATACATGTTTGCTTTAGACTGATGTAACGGAGGGTACATACATTTGCTTGTTTGAGACTGGTGGAACGGGGGATACACGTTTGTTTTAGATTAATGGAACGGAGGATACACGTTTGTTTATCAGACCGATGGAACGGAGTGTACATACGTTTGCTTGTTTGAGACTATTGGAACGGTGGGAGAAGCAGGCTTGTCTGAAACTTGGAGAAAGTAGAATTTATATATTTTTCAAGACTGTGATAGAACAGACGATACAGAGGTTTGTTGGGGACTGTGATGGAAGGGAGGATAAAAACATTTATTTAAGAATGATGGAACGGAGGGTAGATAGATTTGTTTTGGGTTGTAATAGAACGGAGGGTAGAGATATTTGTTTTGGATTGTGATAGAACGGAGGGTACAGATTTTTGTCTTGGTTTGTGATAGAACGGAGGGTAGAGAGATTTGTTTTGGATTGAAATAGAAAGGAGGGTAGATATATTTTTTTGAATTGTGATAGAACGGAGGGAACAGATATTTGTTTTGGTTTGTGATAGAACGGAGGGTAGAGATATTTGTTTTGGATTGTGATAGAAAGGAGGGTACAGATTTTTGTCTTGGATTGTGATAGAACGGAGGGTAGAGAGATTTGTTTTGGATTGTGATAGAACGGAGGGTAGATATATTTGTTTTGGATTGTGATAGAACGGAGGGTACAGATATTTGTCTTGGTTTGTGATAGAACGGAGGGTAGAGAGATTTGTTTCGGATTGTGATAGAACGGAGGGTAGATATATTTGTTTTGGATTGTGATAGAACGGAGGGTACAGATATTTGTCTTGGTTTGTGATAGAACGGAGGGTAGAGAGATTTGTTTTGGATTGTAATAGAACGGAGGGTAGAGAGGTTTGTTTTGGATTGTAATAGAAAGGAGGGTAGATATATATTTTTTGAATTGTGATAGAACGGAGGGAACAGATATTTGTTTTGGATTGTGATAGAACGGAGGGTACAGATATTTGTTTTGGATTGTGATAGAAAGGAGGGTACAGATTTTTGTCTTGGATTGTGATAGAACGGAGGGTAGAAATATTTGTTTTGGCTTGTGATAGAAGGGAGGGTACAGAAATTTGTTTTGGTTTGTGATAGAACGGAGGGTACAGATTTTTGTCTTGGATTGTGATAGAACGGAGGGTAGAAATATTTGTTTTGGCTTGTGATAGAACGGAGGGAACAGTTTTTTGTCTTGGATTGTGATAGAACGGAGGGTAGAAATATTTGTTTTGGCTTGTGATAGAAGGGAGGGTACAGAAATTTGTTTTTGGATTGTGATAGAACGGAGGGAACAGTTTTTTGTCTTGGATTGATAGAACGAAGGGAACAGATATTTATTTTGGCTTGTGATAGAACGGAGGGTACAGAGATTTGTTTTGGATTGTAATAGAACGGAGGGTACAGATATTTGTTTTGGATTGTAATAGAACGGAGGGTACAGATATTTTTCTTGGATTGTGATAGAACGGAGGGTACAGATATTTTTCTTGGATTGTGATAGAAAGGGAGATAAAAAGATTTGTTTGAGACTGTGATAGAACGAGTAGAGAATCTCGTGGTTTGATATGAGTGTACATATGTTTGATACTGTGATGGAAAACACGTGTTATTAAGATTTTTTTCTTCTAATGAACTAATTTTATCTTGTTGTCACCATTGTTTTAAAGTATCAGTATCGTCGTTGAAATATAGAAATCTGCTTTCACTAATATTTGCTCATTTGTATGGTAACCTGTTGTAAAGCTAACAATTTTAGCTCACCTGGCCCGAAGAGCCAAGTGAGCTATAGCGATATTGCGGTATCCGTCATCCGTCCGTCGTCTGTCAATTTTTACTGTATATTGCAAATATCCATAAACTGAGCGGATTTTAATCAAATTTAGTCTGAAGCATCCTTGGGGAAAGGGATACCAATTTTGTGTAAAGGCCCCTTACCGGGGTCAGATGGGTGGAACCCAACAGGGAAAATCGATCAATTTCTTAAAAAATTATCTTGTTCTTCAGGAATAGCAGGATATTTTCCAAAAATTGGTCTGAAGCATGCTTGGGAAATCAATTTTGTATAAATGGCGGGTCTAGGCCCCCGGGGCAAAAGGGGCGGACCCAATAGAAAAATCTTTCAATTCTTTAAAACCACAAAAAATTATTACTGGGGATCAAAAATTAAAGACGGTGATGATATAAGATTTTACCCATTGGTCTTGCCCCATCAAAGAGGTAAAGTGACTGAGCTTTAATTTTGAAATATTTGAAATACCCAACCCATAGGCATGTTTAACATCGCTTGACAGTAGGATCCAGGTGAGTGATACAGGCCCTAATGACCTCTTATTACCATTTCCTTTTGTGAATGAATTTCTTTGTTCGTTATGTTATGAATAATTACTTCGTTTTTGAAACGGAATTTGTGATATTCATGTACCGCAGGGAAAACTAACACAGCAATGCGAGTTAGGTTAATGGAATTTGGAACGTAGCATTTTTTTTCTCTTAAAAATTAGGGAATTCGGATATATTACGTTTGGTTTGATGTATATCAGCAACGCTGTTGAATGCCGACCTGAATCTTAAGCCGTCCCATCGAAAGGCTGTCGTGGTTTTCGTGTAAATAGGCTTTGTCAGTGGTGAAAAAAATAATTATCTGTAATGTCATAATTATGACAAGTCATATTACGTAACAAAAGAGATGCAGTATGCTATATATAGATACCTGTGTGATTACAGATAGCACATGTCACGCTGCCTTCTGATTTTGTATTTTTTTTTTTTTTTAAAGTCAATTTTCGGTATTTCTCAAAAAATATTACCTAATTATTAAAATTAATTTAATTTTAATGTTTTCTCCCTCCTTAATTACACATTTATCTGAAAGACTCGTATGTGAGTATGTGAATAGTTGTCACAAAATCACGTTTCATAATTCAAGGGTGTAACAACCTCTTCCATTTAATAAACGGGGCTGATATATTCAATACTTAAGACTACCTGAACTTTTCAGTGATATTTATAGAAATTTCAAATAACCAGATCTAATCTACGGATAATTATTGAAGTCTTTCCGAGTGTATTCCCCTGATCGCGAATGCGTGTGCTTATATTAGCAGTCTTCTGATTGAAATCAGCTTATTATTTGGGAAAGAAGTAATTTTTGCCTAATTATCAATTCCAGCTAAAAGATACCTTACAACATGATACAAGTGTTCTTATTTTGTCTTGACCGAGTTTTTATTGTTAGTGTTTGGATTAAAAAGAAATCCAAGATTGTCATTATTGTCTTGTAATGTCAAAACAGTTTAATCTATTTTATGACTCGGATAAAAAAATAAAAAAAATAATTGAACAAGTCATGCCGTATGTATCTTTGTTTTGCGAGGCGTTGAATATTGTTCACATTCGATGTGTCGTATTTTGGTGAATCACAGTACATACAGATGCTGAAATACAAGTCACTGATTGCTAGTTGCCATGGCAAAATATGATATACACATAGCGAGATGAAGCTCTTTTTAATTGGAGCATCTTTGACACGTGTTCATGATGACTTGTTAAGCAGTAAACACACGCCGAAAGATGCCCATGTAGTCATGTTACGTGTCGCCAGTTTCAAGTTAACACTACAAATTTGCATTAAAAACCAGCCAATAAATGCTTACTTACACATAGACACTTAACATATCCCTGCTGTCATAAACACAATATTTAATCAAAATCTAAATCCATTGTCAAAGATTGCTCAGAACTTTCCGCGGAGGAGTACAGACACACCCATGGAAGCTACAGTGAACCAGCCAAAACCAAACATGGAAGCACGCGCTGGTTGAGGAATTGCGAAAAGGTAAGCAAGTGTGTGACAAATACGACAGAACGTAAACATCCGGAAATGGAAGGCAGCCCACCAGGGATCTGGTTCTGTCAGGACGTACAAAACGCCCACCAATACAAACGGAATGACATTTTCAACGTCGTTCTGGTGACATCTGAAGAAAGAAAAGTCAGAATTATAAATAAACGTGCTAAATACTGGCGTAACAGTTAAAATCGTACGCTCGACTTGTCAAATGATCTTGCTGGAAGCAAACATCAAATTTCGCCAAAACCTGTTATCACATCTAAAAACAATATGGCGTTGTTGTATGTGATGTTGCCTTTAATTGGCTGGTGAAAAAAAAATCAGTTATGGAAAGTCAAAACCCATGACGTGAGAACCGAAGCCAAATCGTTAAATAATCTTATGTTGAAACACAATGTACATAAAATGTTTTGTTGTTTATCATAAATAAACAACTCGCACATATTGTGTGTAGTAACAAACCGAGAAGATTTCACTCTCGAGCAATATTATTACTGAAAGGATGGGGTTTGATGTTGATACAATGGTATTTAAGAAATGTCGAGATTACGCAGGGCATGTACTTAAAACACATCCAATGTACACGTGCAAATATATTGACCAATTTATTACCTAAAGCTTCTGAGCGAAGGAAGAACGATAACTCTTACATCTACTAAAAAAACTGCCGACACACACACACACCCTCACACACATCTACAACGTATTTATGTGTTTAATTATGAAACAATTACATACAACTGAAACTACATCAGATCTTGACAAGATATGCATTAAAAGTGGACAACCAGCCGTAAACGTATTAAAGTGTTTCATATGAATGATGGACACAGTTTAAAAACAAGGGATTGAGTCACACCCCTCCTAGTTTATTTAACACACGATTTAGACACATACCTTCTAGTTCGCTCTACGACAATGTCGTTAAAAATTGTGGTTTGTCCTTTCACGAGCCTGTCCTCCATGTTAGCCACTACCTGTAACAGAATAATTCACAATAATATCCGTGTGGTACCCTTTATTGTGTTACCAGTGTCTGTACCCACCATTGTGTTAGTCTGTGTCTGTACCCACCATTGTGTTAGTCTGTGTCTGTACCCACCATTGTGTTACCAGTGTCTGTACCCACCATTGTGTTGGTCTGTATCTGTACCCACCATTGTGTTACCAGTATCTGTACCCACCATTGTGTTAGTCTGTGTTTGTACCCACCATTGAGTTACCAGTATCTGTACCCACCATTGAGTTACCAGTGTCTGTACCCACCATTGAGTTACCAGTGTCTGCACCCACCATTGAGTTACCAGTGTCTGTACCCACCATTGAGTTATCAGTGTCTGTACTCACCATTGTGTTAGTCGGTGTCTGTACCCACCATTGTGTTACCAGTATCTGTACCCACCATTGTGTTAGTCTGTGTCTGTACCCACCATTGTGTTAGTCTATATCTGTACCCACCATTGTGTTACCAGTATCTGTACCCACCATTGTGTTAGTCTGTGTCTGTACCCACCATTGTGTTAGTCTGTGTCTGTACCCACCATTGAGTTACCAGTGTCTGTACCCACCATTGAGTTACCAGTGTCTGTACCCACCATTGAGTTACCAGTGTCTGTACCCACCATTGAGTTACCGGTGTCTGTATCCACCATTGAGTTAGTCGATATCTGTACCCACCATTGTGTTAGTCGGTGTCTGTACCCACCATTGTGTTAGTCTGTGTCTGTACCCACCATAGTGTTAGTCGGTGTCTGTACCCACCATTGTGTTAGTCTGTGTTTGTACCCACCATTGAGTTACCAGTATCTGTACCCACCATTGAGTTACCAGTGTCTGTACCCACCATTGAGTTACCAGTGTCTGCACCCACCATTGAGTTACCAGTGTCTGTACCCACCATTGAGTTATCAGTGTCTGTACTCACCATTGTGTTAGTCGGTGTCTGTACCCACCATTGTGTTAGTCTGTGTCTGTACCCACCATAGTGTTAGTCGGTGTCTGTACCCACCATTGTGTTAGTCTGTGTCTGTACCCACCATTGTGTTAGTCTGTGTCTGTACCCACCATTGTGTTAGTCTGTGTCTGTACCAACCTTTGTGTTACCAGTGTCTGTACCCACCATTGTGTTACCAGTGTCTGTACCCACCATTGTGTTACCAGTGTCTGTACCCACCATTGTGTTACTAGTGTCTGTACCCACCATTGTGTTACTAGTGTCTGTACCAACCATTGTGTTACCAGTGTCTGTACCCACCATTGTGTTACTAGTGTCTGTACCCACCATTGTGTTACCAGTGTCTGTACCCACCATTGTGTTACCAGTGTCTGTACCCACCATTGAGTTACCAGTGTCTGTACCCACCATTGTGTTACCAGTGTCTGTACCCACCATTGTGTTAGTCTGTGTCTGTACCCACCATTGTGTTACCAGTATCTGTACCCACCATTGTGTTACCAGTATCTGTACCCACCATTGTGTTACCAGTGTCTGTACCCATCATTGTGTTACCAGTGTCTGTACCCACCATTGTGTTAGTCTGTATCTGTACCCACCATTGTGTTACCAGTATCTGTACCCACCATTGTGTTAGTCTGTGTCTGTACCCACCATTGTGTTAGTCTGTGTCTGTACCAACCATTAATTTGTTTTAGTCTTTGTCTGTACCCACCATTGAGTTACCAGTGTCTGTACCCACCATTGTGTTACCAGTGTCTGTACCCACCATTGTGTTAGTCTGTGTCTGTACCCACCATTGTGTTACCAGTGTCTGTACCCACCATTGTGTTAGTCTGTATCTGTACCCACCATTGTGTTACCAGTATCTGTACCCACCATTGTGTTAGTCTGTGTCTGTACCCACCATTGTGTTAGTCTGTGTCTGTACCAACCATTAATTTGTTTTAGTCTTTGTCTGTACCCACCATTGAGTTACCAGTGTCTGTACCCACCATTGTGTTACCAGTGTCTGTACCCACCATTGTGTTACCATTGTCTGTACCCATCATTGTGTTACCAGTGTCTGTACCCACCATTGTGTTAGTCTGTGTCTGTACCCACCATTGTGTTACCAGTATCTGTACCCACCACTGTGTTAGTCTGTGTCTGTACCCACCATTGTGTTAGTCTGTGTCTGTACCAACCATTAATTTGTTTTAGGTGATACATGGTAACAAAGATACAGAGTGTTAATACACGTGATACATGGTAACAAAGATACAGACTGTTGATACACGTGATACATGGTAACAAAGATACAGTGTTAATACACGTGATACATGGTAACAAAGATACAGTGTTAATACACGTGATACATGGTAACAAAGATACAGAGTGTTGATACACGTGATACATGGTAACAAAGATACAGAGTGTTGATACACGTGATACATGGTAACAAAGATACAGAGTGTTGATACATGTGATACATGGTAACAAAGATACAGAGTGTTGATACACGTGATACATGGTAACAAAGATACAGAGTGTTGATACACGTGATACATGGTAACAAAGATACAGAGTGTTGATACACGTGATACATGGTAACAAAGATACAGAGTGTTGATACACGTGATACATGGTAACAAAGATACAGAGTGTTGACATACACGTGATACATGGTAACGAAGATACAGAGTGTTGATACACGTGATACATGGTAACAAACATACAGTGTTAATACACGTGATACATGGTAACAAAGATACAGAGTGTCAATACACGTGATACATGGTAACAAAGATACAGAGTGTTGATACACGTGATACATGGTAACAAAGATACAGAGTGTCAATACACGTGATACATGGTAACAAAGATACAGAGTGTTGATACACGTGATACATGGTAACAAAGATACAGAGTGTTGATACACGTGATACATGGTAACAAAGATACAGAGTGTTGATACACGTGATACATGGTAACAAAGATACAGTGTTAATACACGTGATACATGGTAACAAAGATACAGTGTGTTGATACACATGATACATGGTAACAAAGATACAGAGTGTTGATACACGTGATACATGGTAACAAAGATACAGAGTGTTGATACACGTGATACATGGTAACAAAGATACAGTGTTGATACACGTGATACATGGTAACAAAGATATAGTGTTAATACACGTGATACATGGTAACAAAGATACAGAGTGTTAATACACGTGATACATGGTAACAAAGATACAGAGTGTTAATACACGTGATACATGGTAACAAAGATACAGAGTGTTGATACACGTGATACATGGTAACAAAGATACAGAGTGTTGATACACGTGATACATGGTAACAAAGATACAGAGTGTTGATACACGTGATACATGGTAACAAAGATACAGAGTGTTGATACACGTGATACATGGTAACAAAGATACAGAGTGTAAATACACGTGATACATGGTAACAAAGATACAGAGTGTAAATACACGTGATACATGGTAACAAAGATACAGACTGTTGATACACGTGATACATGGTAACAAAGATACAGAGTGTTGATACACGTGATACATGGTAACAAAGATACAGAGTGTTGATACACGTGATACATGGTAACAAAGATACAGAGTGTTGATACACGTGATACATGGTAACAAAGATACAGTGTTAATACACGTGATACATGGTAACAGAGATACAGTGTTGATACACGTGATACATGGTAACAAAGATACAGAGTGTTAATACACGTGATACATGGTAACAAAGATACAGAGTGTTGATACACGTGATACATGGTAACAAAGATACAGAGTGTTGATACACGTGATACATGGTAACAGAGATACAGAGTGTTGATACACGTGATACATGGTAACAAAGATACAGAGTGTTGATACACGTGATACATGGTAACAAAGATACAGAGTGTTGATACACGTGATACATGGTAACAAAGATACAGAGTGTTGATACACGTGATACATGGTAACAAAGATACAGAGTGTTGATACACGTGATACATGGTAACAAAGATACAGAGTTAATACACGTGATACATGGTAACAAAGATACAGAGTGTTGATACAGGTGATACATGGTAACAAAGATACAGAGTGTTAATACACGTGATACATGGTAACAAAGATACAGAGTGTTGATACACGTGATACATGGTAACAAAGATACAGAGTGTTGATACACGTGATAATACATGGTAACAAAGATACAGAGTGTTGATACACGTGATACATGGTAACAAAGATACAGAGTGTTGATACACGTGATACATGGTAACAAAGATACAGAGTGTTGATACACGTGATACATGGTAACAAAGATACAGAGTGTTGATACACGTGATACATGGTAACAAAGATACAGAGTGTTGATACACGTGATACATGGTAACAAAGATACATGATACATGGTAACAAAGATACAGAGTGTTGATACACGTGATACATGGTAACAAAGATACAGAGTGTTGATACACGTGATACATGGTAACAAAGATACAGTGTGTTAATACACGTGATACATGGTAACAAAGATACAGTGTTAATACACGTGATACATGGTAACAAAGATACAGAGTGTTGATACACGTGATACATGGTAACAAAGATACAAAGTGTTGATACACGTGATACATGGTAACAAAGATACAGAGTGTTGATACACGTGATACATGGTAACAAAGATACAGAGTGTTGATACACGTGATACATGGTAACAAAGATACAGTGTTGATACACGTGATACATGGTAACAAAGATACAGAGTGTTGATACACGTGATACATGGTAACAAAGATACAGAGTGTTGATACACGTGATACATGGTAACAGAGATACAGTGTTGATACACGTGATACATGGTAACAAAGATACAGAGTGTTGATACACGTGATACATGGTAACAGAGATACAGATACATGGTAACAAAGATACAGTGTTGATACACGTGATACATGGTAACAAAGATACAGAGTGTTGATACACGTGATACATGGTAACAAAGATACAGAGTGTTGATACACGTGATACATGGTAACAAAGATACAGTGTTAATACACGTGATACATGGTAACAAAGATACAGAGTGTTGATACACGTGATACATGGTAACAAAGATACAGTGTTAATACACCTGATACATGGTAACAAAGATACAGAGTGTTAATACACGTGATACATGGTAACAAAGATACAGAGTGTTGATACACGTGATACATGGTAACAAAGATACAGAGTGTTGATACACGTGATACATGGTAACAAAGATACAGAGTGTTGATACACGTGATACATGGTAACAAAGATACAGAGTGTTGATACACGTGATACATGGTAACAGAGATACAGTGTTAATACACGTGATACATGGTAACAAAGATACAGTGTTAATACACGTGATACATGGTAACAAAGATACAGAGTGTTGATACACGTGATACATGGTAACAAAGATACAGAGTGTTAATACACGTGATACACGTGATACATGGTAACAAAGATACAGAGTGTTGATACACGTGATACATGGTAACAAAGATACAGTGTTAATACACGTGATACATGGTAACAAAGATACAGAGTGTTAATACACGTGATACATGGTAACAGAGATACAGTGTTGATACACGTGATACATGGTAACAGAGATACAGTGTTGATACACGTGATACATGGTAACAAAGATACAGAGTGTTAATACACGTGATACATGGTAACAAAGATACAGAGTGTTGATACACGTGATACATGGTAACAAAGATACAGAGTGTTAATACACGTGATACATGGTAACAAAGATACAGTGTTAATACACGTGATACATGGTAACAAAGATACAGTGTTAATACACGTGATACATGGTAACAACATGGTAACAAAGATACAGTGTTAATACACGTGATACATGGTAACAAAGATACAGAGTGTTAATACACGTGATACATGGTAACAAAGATACAGTGTTAATACACGTGATACATGGTAACAAAGATACAGAGTGTTAATACACGTGATACATGGTAACAAAGATACAGAGTGTTAATACACGTGATACATGGTAACAAAGATACAGATACACGTGATACATGGTAACAAAGATACAGAGTGTTAATACACGTGATACATGGTAACAAAGATACAGAGTGTTGATACACGTGATACATGGTAACAAAGATACAGAGTGTTAATACACGTGATACATGGTAACAAAGATACAGAGTGTTAATACACGTGATACATGGTAACAAAGATACAGAGTGTTGATACACGTGATACATGGTAACAAAGATACAGAGTGTTGATACACGTGATACATGGTAACAAAGATACAGAGTGTTGATACACGTGATACATGGTAACAAAGATACAGTGTTGATACACGTGATACATGGTAACAAAGATACAGAGTGTTGATACACGTGATACATGGTAACAAAGATACAGAGTGTTGATACACGTGATACATGGTAACAAAGATACAGAGTGTTGATACACGTGATACATGGTAACAAAGATACAGAGTGTTGATACACGTGATACATGGTAACAAAGATACAGTGATACATGTAACAAAGTACAGTCTGTTATACACGTGATACATGGTAACAAAGATACAGAGTGTTGATACACGTGATAC